GCTTCAGCAGAAGGCAGAGGCAATGCTGCAGGCTAATCACTATGACATGGATATGATCCGGGAGTGTGCAGAGAAGGTTGCTTCCCATTGGCAACAACTGATGCTGAAGATGGAGGACCGTCTCAAGCTTGTGAATGCCTCTGTTGCCTTCTATAAAACATCTGAACAGGTACAGAAATGCTACATGATCTGTGTCGGCCTTGGTTAATTCTTCAGTGTGGCATAAAACAGCATTACCTAAAAAAATGGTTGATCAGGTTTGGTTATATTTACTAATTTGATAACAATTGCAGTTATACAAAAAGTGCAAAAAGCAAATCCTTTTACCAGCTGCCTTAGAGAAACTATGTGTTGCAGCCTTTCAGTATATAAAGTGGTCTTATAAGACAAAGACCTGTAGTGACAGGACAAAGGACAACGGTTTTAAACTCAAGGAGGGTAGATTTAGATCAGATACAAGGAAGAAATTTTTTATGATGAGGGCGATGAGACACTGGAACATGTCGCCCAGAGAAGTTGTGGATGCCCCATTCCTGGAAATAGCAAAGTCAGGTTGGACGAAGCTTTGAGCAACCTGATCTAGTGAAAGATTCCTGGCGATGGCAGGGGAGTTAGACTAGATGATCTTTAAAGGTCCCTTCCAACCCAAACCAGTCTATGATAAGTAAGTAGTGGACAAATTGTACCAGCTACTAAGATACTACAGTGTAATTGATCTGGCTACACTTGCTTCAGTTAGCAAACTTCAAACAAAGTACACTACCAAAGTGCAGTGCTTATTGGTGAAGACTCAAATCTTCATCTGCCTTTTCTATCACTCTCCTCTTTAATATTCCTCAGATTCTTATTTTTAATTGAGAAAAGTCTTGTAAAACATTTTTAAGATGAAACACACTGTACAAGTGCTTAGTTGGATTTCTGCTTGGTTTTGCTTAAACCATAAACAAGTTACGCAGAGGTTTTAATGGAAGTACTTCAGATGGCTAATTCTGATTTTTGTGTGAGAGTCAGAGAAAAACCAGCTTCATCCTACTTGTCTGCAGAAGAGTTAAGGGGAAGGCTGGCAAGGTTGCTGCCTCTGCAGTTGTGTCTTAAGCCCATCCTGAACTATGCAGTCACAGAGGTGGAGAAAGATGAGCAACTTTAGGGATAGCCTTCTGAGCAATTCCACGTAAGCAGGCCAAGGCTTGCAAACCTACAGCCAAAGTTTGTTGCCTTCTCTTAAGTTCCAGTCAAAACATGTCAGAAGCTAAGGTACCTGTAAGGGGTAGATTGGTTTTCCATTTTTTTGGCTTGAATTTGGAATTTTTGTATTACTGAATTATATTCGAGTTGGACTCCTTCCTGATAGGTGTGCAGCGTGCTGGAAAGCCTGGAGCAAGAATATAAGCGAGAAGAAGATTGGTGTGGGGGAGCAGACAAACTGGGTCCCAACTCTGAAACAGATCATGTTACTCCCATGATAAGCAAACACCTGGAACAGAAGGAGGCGTTCCTAAAGGTAGGATTGCTATTTTTTTTGTGGTCATCTTTGTCTTGGGAAGCATGCAGTCAAATGCTCACTCTTACACTGCTGAAACATATGTGGAAAGCAACAGTGCCATTCAGAAGCTACAGGTATGTCCCAAACTGCAAAGATGTGGGAAATGGCACGTTAACTGCTTCTGACAGTGATAAGGAGAATACTGCCAAGTGCATAAAATTGTAGCCAGTTTTATAAATATATTTCCTGTTGAACTTCAATAGATGTCAGGTCTCCCACTGTGACTGAAGAGGAATTGGGAATCACTGCTTTGAGCAACTGTCATTCTAAAGAATGCTTAAAGGCTGCTGCTTTGGAAGAGAAGTGACAGTCACATAGTACCATTGCTGCCTGTGCATCAGAGCTGCTCTCAGATGTACTTGGACTACAGTAGAGTACAGAAGGAGGAAATTACTAGACAAGCATCTGGGAGTAGTTGGGTTTGTGTAATATTCTGCAGATAAATGAAAAGTTTTCATTCCAACTAATGTCCTAGTGAAGAGGGTTATTGATCTTACTGAATAAATGTGGAACGGATGCTTGCAAAGCAGTGTAACTAAGCCTGTAACCAAAGGCTTTTTCCAGCATCATCTCGAAAGACACTAGAGTGTTAAAACTTAGTTTTATTAAAAGCCTTTTTGTTCTCAGTGCACAGATGAGAACGTTCAAAAATGTATTAGCATAGCTCTAAGTATACTGTCATATAGATCTTTCTGCAGCTGGCATCTGAGCTTTCAGTTTCTGTGTTAAAACAATGTGAGAAATGACTTAGTGTCTCTCTTACTGGATCTAACCATGCTACGTTTATCTAACCTTTTAAAGTAGTATTTCATGTTCTGCTTATTAAAAATAAGGCAGCTGGCCCATATGTAGTACTTGGTGTACATTAAGATGAAGGAGGCAGCTGAGCTGAGTGTTGGCAATACAGTGATGAGGATTGAAAGCTCTCAAGGCCTTGTCTTAGTATTTTAAGGGCATGTCTTAATATTTTAGCACTTTCGGTTTCACTTCAGTGGAACATTTACTTTTTGTTTAAAGTAGCGGTGGACGTTTTGGAATATCCAGTTGATTACATAAGCTTGTGCACTCTGTTTACACAATAAATAACTTCAAGTGGCATGTGCCACGTACACAAAACAAACTTCTCTGTCAACTCTGAGTCATGCTGAAAGCTCTAGAGCAGGTAATTGCTTTCCAGGATCTTCAGAGAAAAAGTAATAGCTTTTTTTTTTTTTTTTTTTTCTGCTGGATAAGTAAGTATTAACTGTTATTTGTTGGGAAAACTATTTTAATGCTTGGGTTGGCTTACTTGTAGAAGGATTTAACAAGCAACGCTTTCTAAAATTGGAGAGGGGGGATGAGGAAGGCCCTTCATCTCTTTCCGGATGTATATGTGTGCAGCTTCAAAGAAAGTAATACCTCTGACTCTCTAGGCTTGCACGCTGGCTCGGAGGAATGCTGATGTCTTCCTGAAATACCTGCACAGGAACAGCGTAAACATGCCAGGCATGGTGACACACATCAAAGCACCTGAACAACAAGTCAAAAGTAAGGGGTTTCTTGTTCTTTATTTCTTCAAACAACATGATCACCGTGTGTTGTGGTGTGTGTGATGATGGGGGAGTGAAGCCTGCCCAACTGGAAAGGGTTCTGTCAGGCTTAACAGGAAATAATTAAACTTACTCTCGCACATTTTGAAGGAGCTGCCAGTCATCAGATTCTCTTATACCCAAATGAAGTTGCTTTGAATTTATCTATCTCCTGCTTACACTTAATCTTCTTTCAATTTGAGACTCAAATGTGCCGCTTTGTTCAGAGGATGAGATAGTAAACTTCCACATGATAATGTTTGGTCTGATGCCAAATTGGAGCTGATCGCTGTAAGCTTACTCAGTGTGTTAGTGTGGTGCACTCTGCGAGTTCCTTGGGAGTGCCAGGGTGATACATGATAAATCCTTTGAATTATGCCCTTGGACCCTTCATAGAGTTGAATCAGTATTAAGGAACTTCATGAAGTATAGGGTAACTGACATCATGTTTAAATTAGATGTGTAGATAGGTAGTAGCTGAGGTGAGGCAGGAAATAACTAATACATGGGGCTTGGGTTTTGCTGGGATTAATTCAATGTAGTGCAGCTTTAAGGTGTAATATGCACTGTGGGGAATGGAGTAGAGAAATCTGTAGGGCTTTCAGGGACAAAAGGACAGAAATTAATAGGGTATGCATAACTGATGAGTGAGGTAGGCAGAACAGAGATCAGAGAGAGATACTCGGAAATAAATACTGCATTTTACTCATTTATTTGCCAGTTGTATTCTGCTTGATGCATTTTGAAGCTGTGACTGAAGACTCAGACCATGCTAAAGACTCAAAACCAGAGAAGTCTAATTATCTAATTAATTGCTGTTTGCAGCTGCCCAAAGGGGAGTTGTGCAGAGGATGGAGCCAAACTCAGAGGAACACAGCAATAGGACCAGAGGAAAAAGTTGCAGCAAGGAAAATTCTGAATGGATATAAGGAGACAGTGTTACAGCAAGAGTGAGAAAGCACTGAGTAGAGCAGGTTGCCCAGAGAGGTAGTGGAATCTCTGCCCTTGGGATTTTTGAAAACTCAGTTGAACAAACCCCTGAAAAACTTTGAAGTTAATCCTGCTTTGAGGAGGAGATTGGAACAGACGGCCTCCAGAGGTCACTTCCGCTCTAAATTATTTGATCACTCTATCAGAAAAGGACATGCTCACTGCTTCACTTTACTACAAGGGGAAAACAGTTTGTGTTAAACCTGCCCATGTATCTGACAGTACTCAAATTGAAAATCTCCCTGTGTTGAATTTTTTTGTGTTGGAAAGATAATAGGGTGTTGGCCATACTTTTCACTCTAAGGAAATAATTGGGTTGTGGCAGTTGAAACTTTGAGCATGTAGAGCTAAGACAAAGGATTGTTTTTCCTCTGTCCCCAAGGCATCAACATTTATAGAACTGTACAAGACAGAATCTCAACACAAATGCTAGGAGTATCAATAACTGAAGAAGCGTTGCTGACATTTGTCACTTAGCTCTTCTCTTGGTAGTAGACAAAGAGAACAAAGCAGAAGCAAGCAGGAAGTTGTAGCTACCAAATTTACTGAGTATAAGAAAAAAATGTTAGGGCTTTTAGACAAACTTTTTTAAAAATTCATTTTTGAAATCTGTGTAGAAACAGTCATTCTGAGAAAGGTAAATGTGTTCAGATGAGGAAAGAGTAGAAAAGTCTCTGCTAATGTCCTTAAGAATAATTATATGTCAGAACCATAGTTCTATGCATGTTCTGTGTATGTTTAAAATCTTGGATGAATGATACATGTTTAAAAAGCACCAAAAAAAGCAACAAAAATCCCCAAGCAGGAAAAAAATAAGCTATGTGTTCTAATGCTTTTTCCCCATAAGCCATGTAATATATGCTTCTGAGAATTAAGCATGAGTCAAGATAAAACCAGCAAGGACTCCTTCCTTTTAGGTCTCAGTGGTATGGTGGTAGCTGACCAAATGACTTAAAAGCTCGCTCTGATCTTCCTCTTTAAATATGCATGTAAGGAAAAAAATCTCTTTTCATCTCTTTTCTAAACAGATAGAGGAAAAAAAACCATTTCATTTTGGTGAAATAGAGGTTACATGTGTTCTGCTGGACCATTACACACTCATACTGGGGTGTATGCTCGAAACAGTGTGTCAAACTGTGATCAGTAGATAGTATATAAGTGAACACTTTAAAAACTTGGGTAACCCTTGAGTTTCTGCAGAACTGCTTAACATTTTTCAAAAACCTCATTCAGTGGCATACTTGATCCTTATTCCCAGCTGCAGATTATGGTGTCTAGAAAAACAATGTCTTAATCTAGGGAAAGTTTAGCTAAGCACATGGGAAACAGGAATCAGAATGGTACTGAACTCTGGGAGGTGTCCTTCTGCCCTTCATACCAGTGTAAATAACTGCCTTGACCTGCAGCTAAGAGTATCCAAATACTGTATCGGACACCGTGCCAAAGCTGAATTTTAGGAAGGGGTTGTGGCCTGAAACTGTGCTGTGGCAGGTTGATTCAGTCGGTGACAATTGCTGTAAGCTCAGAAACAGAGCATCTTCATCTTTGCTTCTGCTGCTAATTTTGCGTGCTTCTTTGTTACCTCTCGCTCTGCTGTACGGCTTGCAACTGAACGTAGTGCAGGAACTTGTCTAGTGGTGCTCATATTTTTAGATAGGTTGACAGAGAGTGCAAGATGCATAGGGACAGCTGAAAGCTGTCCGAGCCTGGAGAATAAGCTGGACGTTTAGGAAACAATACTAATAAATGTTGGAATCAAAGAAAATAACAACAGGGACTATAGTTCAGAAGGCTTGAGGTAGAGCTGCTCATCCAAACCTAGTATTAAATGTTGATATTCTATAACTTCCTTCAAGTATTTTATAGAATATTTTTTTTCTCTACCTTGTCAGTCCAAGAAATTAATGGCAATAACACTAATGGTGCCCAGCCAAATGTCTCTCACTGGCTTGCCATCTGTATCATGTCCTGACAGGACAAATGCTGTTCCAATTAGCTAAATTCACCTTGCTTGCTCTTTGTCAGTACTACTTCGCTTGCGTCACTATCAAGATGTCTCTTTTTATATGGTGTGTCCAGTTGGGTGTATTATATTGTATAATGATAGTTGTCTGTGTGTCTGCTCCCTCAAAATCTGACATATATTCTGAGCAAGCGTTTTGGAGGTTGTGTAAGGCAGAAATAAAACTGAGAAAGCAGGTGAGGCTCGTAGCAGATCAGCTCATGGCTTGGTTAAGGGACAGATCGGTTGAGGCATATTTGAGGGTAGCCTACCCAGCAGGAAGAAAACCTTAGCTGCAGTGACCAGATTCCAACCAAGAGTAAGTCCTGGGTGATCTCAGTGCTCTGTGGCAAGTGGGAATACAGTGCTTCCAAGCAGGAGGATGTTGGCAGCAATGCAAACAGGTTTCCTAATTCTCAGGGAGGCTGTGAGAGTGGTTGTAATTGGTCCCAGATCACTGACAGAGATAGAGGGAGATGCTTTTCCCCTCAGGCTCCCTTTATTTGAGCTTCTCTGTCAAACTGTTACTTGGAGGAGTTAGCTTTTGGGATGTAAGGCATGGCGGACCCACACGGTGGGGCAGGGGAATGCAGAGGCGTTAAGAGGCCTAGCAACCGAGGGCCTCCATTTGCAATTGTGGAAAATAGCCAGCTGTAGGTATAAGTAGAGAAGCAGTAAAGCGTTATTGTGAAGAATGAGCCTTTTTTGTGGTCTCTTTGCTTCTGGTAGACCTCCCCTTGGGTTCTTTGCACTTCCAACAGAATCACCTGGCAGAGCGTCAGGTGTATCCATCTCCATGTACTTCAGCTAGCCATCTGGGTTTGCAGTAGCTACAAAGTCTGCTAGGGCTGCTGCTTTGGAAGAAGCAGTGAGTAAAGTGAGCTTCACAAGAAACTGCTAGGACTTCTTTGTTTGAAGAAAAAAAAGAATAAACATTAAAGAAGCAGAGTTCAGATAAAATCTTCTGCATATTGTAAGCAGAAGATCTTTGCCATCCAGGAGGAACTGATAAGCCAGACATGTGGAACTACAGGTTAACAGTGGAATTTGGATGTGACTTCCCAATGGCAGACAGTTTCTGATACTCAGGAATGGCATAACAAATTGTGGAGTTAATTATTTGATTACCTGGAAATTCTCTCAAAGCTCAATGAACACTCATATTTGAACAAGTCAGCTTACTCAATTATACTGCTGTTGGTTTTGATTTTTTTTTTTTTTTGAAGGAGAGTTACAAACTTAGTCATTTTGTGTATTTTTTATTACTTGGGTTTCCATACATTTAATATCTGCTTATGTTGCATTTGTCCTTGTAGTGAACTAATGTTATGTATTTGTCCATATGTATTAAATTATTAAAATATTTTATAGGAGACTGGTATATTCAGAAAAGTTGTGGGTTTTTTTTGTTATGATTAATATGATATGTTAAGCATGTTGTGATTACTTGTGCGTGCTCATTCTTTCTGAGGAAACCCCATCAAGAACCATCTTTATTAGACTACATTTTCAATTCTTTTATAAACAGTGGCAGTCCCTGTACGAAAAATATTTGAGAGAAGAAAGGTGTTACTAGTAAGTTTTAATTGCATCTCTAGTTTCTTTAACCAACATTTCTGTAAAGAATAATGAAACAAGAACACTCTGTGTTTCATTAATATCAGGAAAAAGAGCAAAACAAAGCGTAACAGAAAGAGTAAGTGTAGTGTAAATTCTACAATATAAAGTACTTTATTCCGTTGATTTTAATGTGATATTTCAAAATTGGTTGTCATAACCTCTGAAACTGTTTTCCTTTCTTCAGATATCTTGAATGAACTCTTCCAGAGGGAGAACCGTGTGCTGCATTATTGGACCATGCGTAAAAGACGTCTTGATCAATGCCAACAGTATGTAGTGTTTGAAAGAAGTGCCAAACAGGTGAGCGTAAATCCTCTTCAGTGTGATCGAGGTTTGACATGCACTGACTTGTCCCACAATAACAAATTTGCCATCGAATTCAGTATTTCAAATGGCTGAAAGATCAATGATTAAAATAGAAAGTAAGTTAAATTATTTGCTTTTCCTTTAATACAGAACAACAAAAATCTGTTGAGGCAGGGTGTCTTTATTGCTGTAACTGAAAGTTAGTCTTTTGCTTCTGCCAGCTTGATCTGATACTGGTGAATCTCATTTCTGCAAGCTTGTGTTTGACAAATTGTTACGCTTGTTAACTTTACACAGACACCTAATTTGACCAGGGAAATAACAGGCAGCAACATTTTTCTCCCACGTTGGGGAAAAAAAACATCTAATTAAGTTGACTGGCAGTTCTAGAAAACTGACAAGTTGTATAACTCATTAAACAATAACAAGTGAATGACTCTCCAAAGTTTTTGCAATTCTGCATGTACTTGGTTTCATGGTTTATTGCATGGTAGATCCACCTCTCTGTATGTTGTTGAATTTATCAGTCTGGAAAGAACTATTGAGTAACTACCACACACAGAAAAAATCCACTTCACCAATCAAAACACAAGCCGTAAAAATAAGTAGGGGGTTCCGAGGCAGAATTAGTAACTGCAATGATCTGGAGTGGGTTTTTTACTACTTTTTTTTTTAACTGCATATAGGACAAAGAAAGGAAGCTATCTGTTCCTGTTCTGCAGAAAAGGATACAACGCCCACAGTGTGAAATATAGTTAGATCTACTTTAAAGGACTCGAAAACCTAATTTTTTATTTCTTTCTGACAGCCACTGTAGACAGAGGCTTAAATATTAGTGGTCTGTTTTCATCTCTTGAAAGATTTCTAAGGTCTGTCTTTCATGATTTCACAAAGGAGGTAACGCAAGATAAATCTTGGAGTGAAGTTAAAGTTTAATACCTCTTTAAAACAACAACACTGCCCCTTCCCTGCCCCCCACCCCACTTTTGAATAACCTTAACTCCAGCCTCTGCGAAGCACATGACCTGCTTGCTTTTGTATAGAGATTACTGACTAACAGTCAAACACTGAAGATAAAGATCTGTCAGCATTTTCATTGTAAATCCCATTTTTCAGCAATCACCAGTTCAGTCATTGCAAATGGTATTGGACTCCACACTGATTAGCCAGAAAATGGAAATGTTGCTGTCTTCATTTAGTTTTTTGTTTGGAAGTTGGAAGTTTGTTTGGAAGTTGGAAAAACCCATTCTTTGTGCTTTGAGAACCTGATGCCCTGCTATGGGAGTAGATACCATAGTAGTTTGCGAGGAAAATGGTAGACTCTCAAATCGTTCCAGATTTAAGGGCTCACCTGGTCACTAAATTGATTTCTTCAGTTCTTGTATGGTGAATTCTTCAGTTTGAAAGGACTCTTCTCTCTTTCCCCCCCGCAC